TCTTATAATTGCATGTTTTTTTTTGTTTTTTACAAAGTTGTGTGCTATTTACTTAGGCCCATTATCACTAAAATGATCATTAGCTTGTGTTGAGGCTGAAAACTTTCAATAAAAATTCTTATATTTGTCACTGTAAATTTGTCTCTATTAATTTTTTAAAAAAATCTTAAATAAATCAAAATGTGTTTTATTTTAAATTAATTTTAAAATTTTGTTGTTTCTTTTGTTCACTGTTAGTGTTGTGAAAATTCTATTTCTCGCGGCTTCGACTGTTTAAAGTCAAAGTAGAACACTCGAAAATAATGAATTAAATAAAAATAAAATTAATGAAATTCACTGAATTAATTTAATATCTTTTTAAAAGAAGAGCATCTTTGTTTTCCATTAGGTGAGAAAGTAAATTTCAAATAAACATTTGATTGTTTAATGTTTATTGTTACGTGTGCATACGATTACAATAACGTAAATATACCTTCTTTTTTGTTGTCTTATTAATTAATTGTTTTCTAGAGAAATCGGAATGCATATTATAATTTATAAAAAAAAAGGCACTGGTCAAAATATTTTTCATCTGTATTTACTCTCGGTTACTCATCACAGCTCTCTGGTAGAGAACAACGGCTTCCAAGGACAAAATACTTTAATTAGCAGAGCTCTAAATTACTGATAGCACTTAGCAATATTGACACGCCCACCCAACCATGATTTTTTATATATATATTATATATAGAGTGTGTGTGTGTGTGTGTGTGTGTGTGTGTGTGTGCACGCGCGCTCCGACAGGCGATGATTACTGAAGTCTCCTCTACAGTGGGCCCTGTTCTAAACTGGGTGCCCCACTATTGTGATTTTCTGCTTAATACACGTACACACATAGCCATGAGAATTTGTAGCACAAACATTTTAGAATGTTTACGGCAGTGAGCTTGTTCTTAATGATCATCATAGTCTTTCGAGATTATTTTTTATCCACAAATAAAATTCTTTATAAGATGTCATTTTATTCCAACTGTAAAAAAAAAAAAAGGTATACATAAGTTTAGGAGCAGAAAGAATTATTTTTTGATATATATCCTCAGGAAATGCTATCAACAAGGAAGCGTATATAAGTTTCGGGGTACTGCTTATGGGAGAATGGAGACATTTTATTTTATTTACGCGGATGTGAGTGTCTAGAGACTATTTTTTAATTTTATTTAAAATCCTCCCTCTTTCCTAAACCGTACAATTTAGTACTCGTAAATTCTAAGTTTTATGAAAACTATAACCTAAAATAATTAAAAGAATAAGTATCTCTCTCTTGTAATTATTATCGTTAAGTTTAAGTAGCATTATTTCTGACTGATGTTGTAAAAATCATTGTTATGGTTCAAGAATTTTTCTTATTTGCTACAAAAAATGGTTACTTCACCTGAGATATTTGAATTTGATGTATATTTATTTCTCAATAGATATTTAATATATTCGTTCGTGGAATTTAGCTCTAAGATAATGAATGATAGCGAATTTACAGCCAGTTTGTCTGAGGCTTTTTTATTTCGTGGTCAGTAACAGTTTCATTAAAAAAAAAAAACAAAAAAAAACATTAACACTTATGTCATGAAGAAAATATAATCAATAATTTTAAGTTTACATTTTACAATTAATGCTTTTCAAGATAATTAGCTAGCTGCTAGTATTTGTTCTTGTATCCCCTCCAAAAAAAAAAAAAAAGAATCGTACTCTCTATTTTGAAGCTACTCGGATGTAATATATTCTTTGATAACACTCAGTAACACTAACACTCAATGTTAAATTTTAATTTATCCTCATTACTGGTTCGGTTCGTTGTTAGAAGAATTTTCTATTTATTGAAAATAAGTATCAATCACTAAAGACCATCTGTGTGTCAAGAACGCTATTTGGACATAACATTATTCCAAAGTACACTATTCTGTTATGTGATGAATGGCAATTTGTTCATTTAGCTTTCAAACTTGGTTGTGGTTTATTTGTCCCAAAAAAATGGATAATATGCTAGAAAAATAATTTTCATTGTGTGTGTTATATAAAATATTAATTTAATATAAATATAAAATTTGTCACTTAGCTGATTGATGTTATATTTAGCACCCTGAGTTTCGTAGAGAAACATTTTGTAATCATTCTGTCCACTTGACAGGAGATAACAGTAATACACACGCACACACAAAAGCTTGGAATTGAAGGAAGTACATCTTCCCAATATTGGTTTTAAATTTAGTCAGGATATATTTAGTCAAGATCGTAGTGGGATACCTCTGATATTTACATCTATTTGTTCTGCGAGAGTAACCTTCACAATTGTTGACATAGCATTTCTGGGAAAGATGCTGGTAGACCAGTTTTGCTGCAGAAAATACTGAGCTTTTTATGGCTAGGTAAAGATCCAGTGACCGGACACAAAGAGTGTGAGTTCAATATCCGGTTAAGGCAGTGGAGAACTTTCAGAGGGAAATTAACAAGGAGATAACTGACATCCATTAAACATGGCATGTGGAACTAGAACATTCTACCCCAGTGAGCGAAATAAAGGGTTCAGTTCGACGTTCCAACCACCTGAAGAAGGCCGGAGCGTATAATGGCCGAAACGTAATAAATATGGCGCTCAAAGATGACGACAATAGTCCGAATAATGTAAATAATGTTCTTTGTTTTTGTTTACTTTTACTTTTAGCAATAAATTTGGTGTTCATGTGGTAACACATCTGAGTTGATACTACTTTTTTTTCTTCTTCTATTGTACCCAAAAAAGACTTTTTATTTATTTTTTTTTAATTGTAACATTTGGAATAGAAGATACTTTTTCCTTTCCTTCCAAAAAAGCAAACTTTTTTTTTTGTTGTGGCCTTTCTGTTATTTTTTTTTCCTTTCTTCTTTAGTATCTTTCATGAGGGATATAATATCTCATAAAAATGCACATTATTCTTAATGTTGCAAAGTAAATGTTGTTTTTAAAAAAAAGTACATATAAATACAATCAAAAATAATTATCATTGAAATTTTTTTTTTTTTTTTTTTACAGGTCCAAACAAGCAGTCAAAAGCGTTTTTTAAAGAGAAATATGAACTAGACCAAGTGCACCAATACCACTGCTGCCGCCACCACCTTTTACAGTATTGTTTCTCTCCCACCAAAAGGATTTATTACTCTTTTTTTTCTTTTTTTTTTTTTTTTTTTTTTTCTGTGAGGTGCTTAAGGGAGGATATATACATGTATATATTCTCCTCATGAAATGAACAAAGAACCAAAGTAAATGTCTTATTTGGCCCCCTCCACTGCCATTACCAGACTGACCAACCCTGGAAGGAGACTTTACCATAGTGGCAGCAAAAACGACAGTTACTCTGCTGCCAGCCTAAGCGACAACATGGATTTGTTCAGTGCCAGAACTAGATGCTTTCACTCACGATGCAGAACTTCTTTCAATTCCAGCCCCTTGTTTGCATATAAGCCTTCTTTTAGATGGCTTTTTATAGCTTTATGTATATCTGTGCAGTCTGCAGCATTAGGTGTAGAAGGCATGGAACTTAGGTTAAATGATATTCAAAGCTACTTGAACTCTCTGGATGGGTCTCATTCCAATTCAAACACAGAACCGGTTTCCCTTATGTGGGGAATTGGTGATACTACAGCCTTTGTAGGCAGAATTTTTACTTATGCTATACCCTCGGATGCCTTTAAAGGAAGCATACAATCATTTAAGGTGAGTTCTGCTTTGGAAATTTGCTTGTTATTTGATGTCCTGAAATTAAATTTGTTTAAATATTTGATCTGTCAGTCTGAAGTAGATACATTTAATTTTCAACACTTGCACTCAAAAATTGTTCAAATTTAAATATTTATTCTACATACTACTGATATTATAAATACCTTATTAAAGTATATTGGAGTTTATATTACAACTAAAAGTGAAAATTAGGATGGGTTGCCTGGGTTAATTAAAATTTGTTCATTTGGATCAACAAACAATCATTACAGTGGACCCACTCATAAAGGTTTCTCTCATAAACTGCTAACCTATTTATTTGCTTAGTGGTAATTTACTTTTCATCTGCAGCATCTCTCATATATATATATATATATATATATATATATATATATATATATATATATATATATTATATTTTGTTTTCTCTTCACTGTCTTTTTATGTGTATAATAATTTTGAAAGAGAACACATCAAAAATTTTCTGCTGCTGCTTCCAAGCATATATGGGCAGAAAGCCAGAGATGTTACAAATGTGTGTATAAATTTATACTTAATAAACATGTGTTCAATGAAGATGGTTACTTAAGTAGTGTTAATAGCTGTCTTGATTGTTTGAATGCCCAGAATAGAAACCAGCCGTAAGCTGAATTTTCTAATACCATGGTGCAGGAATCTGGCAGTAGGTGTGGTAATTATTTTGTGTGTGTGTGTATATATATATATATATGTATTACTATTTTCTTTCCCCATTGGAATGCTAGATAGTGTATATTTTGTCTTGCTTACAAACAATAATAATCTAAACTTTAGAGAGTGATTAGATTTGTCACTGATCTATAAATGTAAATTTGTTTTTGGATTCAGATAGGTTTCACATTTCAATTTTTCATATCAAACACTTGGCACCCCTTTTGTATTTAGTATTCAATTTTTTCTGTACTTGTCTAAGGTGGTATTGTTTATGATAAACATTGCAGTTTATCAGAAGTGCAATTTTCTTGCACACTGTAGTTCCTCTTGCCTTTTTAGTCTTAATTCCATCTTCATACCTTTTGTAATAAAAAAAAAATAAAATATGCGATAACTAAACTTATAAACTAAACAAAGAGATACTTGCTATAATGAAAATCTTTACTTATGAAAGATTTCTAAACTTTTTATAACTTTAAATTTTTAGCACATTGAGTTTTATATAAAGGTCATATTGGGATTAAAGAATGAGAATTCAGTTGTCTGTTTTTATAAAATCTTGGTGATAATTTGGATTTGTCCATTTGGCAAATCCCAAATTATCTTTATGTCTTGGATGTTATTTTGTACCTTAGCACAGAAGTCAGCTCATTAACTTAGCCATTAGAGATGTGTCCCCTTCAGACAAAACTACTCCATTGCTCTTCCAAACAAAATATGATTATTATTATTCCTTAATTTAATCTGAAGTACACTTAAAATCTATCTTGGACCTACCTACATACATACATAATGATTAGGTAACTTAGACAAAAGTAATTTTTTCATTAAGATCTCTAATGCTTTTAAGAATGTTTTCTTTGATACATCGTCAGTAAACTTTCTGAAGGTATGTGGCAGTTTAATCAAAATGCTAGACAATTTATTTCCACTTATACCGCGAAAAAGTTTGTATTCAGAATATTGTAAATATAACAATGTTTTTATTTGATTGTATTAAAAAAAATTGCTTTGTAAATTTGGCTTTTTGGTTCTGAAGCAGAAATTAACCAAAGTTTGCTTCCAGGAGTCTGTCCCTCCAAGCTATGCTTTCCAAATTGAACTTGGAGGCAGCTTGGGGCCATGGTAAATGCCTGATACACTCCAAAAAGCTAATTTTGAATGAACTAAACTATTTTTGGTACTACACACATGCACTTGTTAATTATAACCTTGCATCAAACTTATGTGGGTGTGAGTAGGTAAATAAATTATAAAGATATATAATGTCTACATATAATTTTTTAACTATGCCAATATCTTACAGTCCAGCCTATTTCTGGTTAAATTTGGCTGTTTTCGAGTATACGGGTTTTTATACATAATATCCATCCATCCATCCATCTCCATATATATATATATATATATATATATCTATATGAGGAGTAATAGATAGTGGCTTGGATTGAAGAATCAAAGAGCCGAGTTCGAATTCCTGGCGAATCTATTACATTCACTTACGTGCTAATACCCTTGGAAAAGGTGTGAATCCTCTTCTTCTCCCTCCAGCTATGGGTAAATAGCAGGACAGACTGGGTTCTATAGCCTTGGATGGCAACTGGTCTAGGAGAAGGACAAGACTGAATTCAAAACCTGCAGAGGGTCGATTGGGGACCCTGTGGCACCAGGTCTCTGTATTTGGCCCTTCAAAAAGTGTGGGTGGTCCTGCATGAGACCGTCACCACTATAATCAAATCTTATGTGCTGTTGTCAGGCTGTCAGTTTCCTAGGAACTGATCTGCTTGACCCTCATATGTCGAATTTGACGGGAGAGTAGCATGTGTGTGTGTTTTATATATATATATATATATATATATATATATATAGTTGTGCAGTTCCTCTCTAATACAGTTTTCATTAAAAATGAATGACAAGGTACTTTGCTTAAGATTTTCTTTTTTGTCTTTATACAATTTCTTTTTTGGATTTAGTGCATGTAGAATTTTGGCCAGGTGGTTGTTTGTTCCTAGTCCTTTCGGCAAATCTATTAACCATTTTCGATTTGTTTGGTTGTACTATTGCAATTGGTTTCTGAAATGTAGGCCTATTTTTAATTATTGAACATTCGTTACATTATGGCCATATTAATTTTTTGTTTTCAATGAGTGTGGACACCTGTCATCAGCAGAAACAACTCTCCAGTAAAAATACAAACTATATAAAACCAACATTCTAACTTTGACACAACATATTCTGCAAAAACACAAATATAATATACATCTCGATCTGTAACAAAATAAAGTAAAAAAAAACAAAAAAACTCCACATCAAAAACAAGAAAACTACAGATGTGATCATAATGTACTCCCCATGTTAGAAAAACTGTTTCACCAACCTATACACCATTTGAAATAGCACAACCAAATTGCTTGAAAATGGCTAATAAACAGGTCAGAACAATTATTTGGACAATTTCTATATACACCAAGCCAAAGAAAATTCTTTTATGTGTATAAGAAAAACGCACACAAAACCCCCCCCCCAAAAAACGAAGTAATTTGTCATTTTTAATAAAACACGAAGGCACACACTGTATGTGCGAGTACATGGTTAAATGAGGCCCAGGTTTGATTCTCACCACCGTCGATTTGTCAATAAGGTGACTTCTTGATAATATTGGTCTGGGGAGACAATTCCAATGGTTGATCCAACTCTTGTGACTGAAAATGGATAGATGATGGTTGTGCAAGCATAAAGTAAGAAGTCATCATGACTGAGGGTTTGAGTGTATTGGTTGATCGCTCAGTTTCTTCTCTCTGTCTTCCCTTCTTCTCCTTCTCTCTATCCCTTCTCTCTCTTCTCTCTATCTCTCTCTCTCTCTCTCTATCTTCCTCTCTTCTCTCTCTCATCCCCTCTCTATCTTCTCTCTATCTTCTCTCTCTTCTCTCTCTCTATCTTCTCTCTATCTTCTCTCTATCTTCTCTCTATCTTCTCTATCTTCTCTCTTCTCTGTCTTCTCTCTATCTTCTCTCTATCTTCTCTCTATCTTCTCTTGTCTTCTCTCTATCTCTCTCTCTATCTTCTCTCTATCTCTCTATCTTCTCTCTATCTTCTCTCTATCTTCTCTCTATCTTCTCTATCTTCTCTCTATCTTCTCTCTATCTTCTCTCTATCTTCTCTCTATCTTTCTCTGTCTTCTCTCTATCTTCTCTCTTCTTCTCTCTATCTTCTCTCTATCCTCTCTATCTTCTCTCTGTCTTCTCTCTATCTTCTCTGTCTTCTCTCTATCTTCTCTCTATCTTCTCTCTATCTTCTCTCTATCTTCTCTCTATCTTCTCTCTATCTTCTCTCTATCTTCTCTCTATCTTCTCTATCTTCTCTCTATCTTCTCTCTCTCTTCTCTCTATCTTCTCTCTCTTCTTCTCTTCTATCTTCTTCTCTATCTTCTCTCTATCTCTCTATCTTCTCTCTATCTTCTCTCTATCTTCTCTCTCTTCTCTCTTCTCTTCTCTCTATCTTCTCTCTCTTCTCTCTATCTTCTCTCTCTCTATCTTCTCTCTATCTTCTCTCTTCTTCTCTATCTTCTCTCTTCTCTCTATCTTCTCTCTATCTTCTCTCTATCTTCTCTCTATCTTTCTCTATCTTCTCTCTATCTTCTCTCTATCTTCTCTCTATCTTCTCTCTATCTTCTCTTCTCTCTCTCTTCTCTCTATCTTTCTCTATCTCTCTATCTTCTCTCTCTTCTTCTTCTCTATCTTCTCTCTCTTCTCTCTCTCTTCTCTTCTCTCTATCTTCTCTCTATCTTCTCTCTATCTTCTCTCTATCTTCTCTATCTTCTCTCTATCTTCTCTCTATCTTCTCTCTATCTTCTCTCTATCTTCTCTCTATCTTCTCTCTATCTTCTCTATCTTCTCTCTATCTTCTCTCTATCTTCTCTCTATCTTCTCTCTCTTCTCTCTATCTTCTCTCTATCTTCTCTCTATCTTCTCTTCTTCTCTATCTTCTTCTCTCTATCTTCTCTCTATCTTCTCTCTATCTTCTCTCTATCTTCTCTATCTTCTCTCTCTCTTCTCTCTATCTCTTCTCTCTCTATCTTCTCTCTATCTTCTCTCTATCTTCTCTCTCTTCTTCTCTCTATCTTCTCTCTCTTCTCTCTTCTCTCTCTTCTCTCTATCTTCTCTCTATCTTCTCTCTATCTTCTCTCTATCTTCTCTCTATCTTCTCTCTATCTTCTCTCTCTCTCTCTCTCTCTTCTCTATCTTCTCTCTCTCTTCTCTCTCTCTATCTTCTCTATCTTCTCTCTATCTTTCTCTATCTTCTCTCTATCTTCTCTCTATCTTCTCTCTATCTTCTCTATCTTCTCTATCTTCTCTCTATCTTCTCTCTATCTTCTCTCTATCTTCTCTCTATCTTCTCTCTATCTTCTCTCTATCTTCTCTCTCTTCTTCTCTATCTTCTCTCTATCTTCTCTCTATCTCTCCTCTTCTCTCTATCTTCTCTCTATCTTCTCTCTATCTTCTCTCTATCTTTCTCTCTCTCTCTCTTCTTCTCTCTATCTTCTCTCTCTTCTCTATCTTCTCTCTATCTTTCTCTATCTTCTCTCTATCTTCTCTCTATCTTCTCTATCTTCTCTCTATCTTCTCTATCTTCTCTCTATCTTCTCTCTATCTTCTCTATCTTCTCTCTATCTTCTCTTCTCTCTATCTTCTCTCTATCTTCTCTCTATCTCTCTCTTCTTCTCTATCTTCTCTCTATCTTCTCTCTATCTTCTCTCTTCTCTCTATCTTCTCTCTATCTTCTCTCTATCTTCTCTCTATCTTCTCTCTTCTCTCTCTCTATCTTCTCTCTTCTCTCTCTATCTTCTCTCTATCTTCTCTCTATCTTCTCTCTATCTTCTCTCTCTATCTTCTCTCTATCTTCTCTCTATCTTCTCTCTATCTTCTCTCTATCTTCTCTCTTCTCTCTATCTTCTCTCTATCTTCTCTCTATCTTCTCTCTATCTTCTCTCTATCTTCTCTCTATCTTCTCTATCTTCTCTCTATCTTCTCTCTATCTTCTCTCTATCTTCTCTCTATCTTCTCTCTATCTTCTCTCTCTTCTCTCTATCTTCTCTCTCTTCTCTCTATCTTTCTCTATCTTCTCTCTATCTTCTCTCTATCTTCTCTCTATCTTCTCTCTATCTTCTCTCTCTATCTTCTCTCTATCTTCTCTCTATCTTCTCTATCTTCTCTCTATCTTCTCTCTATCTTCTCTCTATCTTCTCTCTATCTTCTCTCTATCTTCTCTCTATCTTCTCTCTCTCTTCTCTATCTATCTTCTCTATCTTCTCTCTATCTTCTCTCTATCTTCTCTCTTCTCTTCTCTCTATCTCTCTCTATCTTCTCTATCTTTCTCTATCTTCTCTCTATCTTTCTCTATCTTCTCTCTATCTTCTCTCTATCTTATCTTCTCTCTATCTTCTCTTCTCTCTTCTCTCTTCTCTCTATCTTCTCTCTATCTTCTCTCTATCTTCTCTCTATCTTCTCTCTATCTTCTCTCTATCTTCTCTCTATCTTCTCTCTCTCTTCTCTCTATCTTCTCTATCTTCTCTCTATCTTCTCTCTATCTTCTCTCTATCTTCTCTCTATCTTCTCTCTTCTCTCTATCTTCTCTCTATCTTCTCTCTTCTTTCTCTATCTTCTCTCTATCTTCTCTCTATCTTCTCTCTATCTTCTCTCTATCTTCTCTCTATCTTCTCTCTATCTTCTCTCTATCTTCTCTCTATCTTTCTCTCTATCTTCTCTCTATCTTCTCTCTATCTTCTCTCTATCTTCTTCTATCTTCTCTTATCTCTCTCTATCTTCTCTCTATCTCTTCTCTATCTTCTCTCTATCTTCTCTCTATCTTCTCTCTCTCTCTTCTCTCTCTCTGTCTTCTCTCTATCTTCTCTCTATCTTCTCTCTATCTCTTCTCTCTATCTTCTCTCTATCTTCTCTCTATCTTCTCTCTATCTTCTCTCTATCTTCTCTCTATCTTCTCTCTATCTTCTCTCTATCTTCTCTCTATCTTTCTCTATCTTTCTCTATCTTCTCTCTATCTTCTCTCTATCTTCTCTCTATCTTCTCTCTATCTTCTCTCTATCTTCTCTCTATCTTCTCTCTATCTTCTCTCTATCTTCTCTCTATCTCTCTCTTCTCTATCTCTCTCTTCTCTCTTCTCTCTCTCTTCTCTCTATCTTCTCTCTATCTTCTCTATCTTCTTCTCTCTATCTTCTCTCTATCTTCTCTCTCTCTTCTCTCTATCTTCTCTCTATCTTCTCTCTATCTTCTCTCTATCTTCTCTCTATCTTCTCTTCTATCTTCTCTCTATCTTCTCTCTATCTTCTCTCTCTTCTATCTATCTCTCTATCTTCTCTCTCTCTCTATCTTCTCTCTATCTTCTCTTCTCTCTTCTTCTCTCTATCTTCTCTCTCTTCTCTCTATCTTCTCTATCTTTCTCTATCTTCTCTCTATCTTCTCTCTATCTTCTCTCTTCTCTCTTCCTTCTCTTCTCTCTATCTTCTCTCTATCTTCTCTCTATCTTCTCTCTATCTTCTCTCTATCTTCTCTCTATCTTCTCTCTATCTTCTCTCTATCTTCTCTCTATCTCTCTATCTTCTCTCTATCTTCTCTCTATCTTCTCTCTCTTCTCTCTATCTTTCTCTATCTTCTCTATCTCTCTATCTTCTCTTCTCTCTATCTTCTCTCTATCTTCTCTATCTTCTCTATCTTCTCTCTATCTTCTCTCTATCTTCTCTCTATCTTCTCTCTATCTTCTCTCTATCTTCTCTCTATCTTCTCTCTATCTTCTCTATCTTCTCTCTCTTCTCTCTATCTTCTCTCTATCTTCTCTCTATCTTCTCTCTATCTTCTCTCTATCTTCTCTCTATCTTCTCTATCTTCTCTTCTCTCTATCTTCTCTCTATCTTCTCTCTATCTCTCTATCTTCTCTCTATCTTCTCTCTATCTTCTCTCTATCTTCTCTCTATCTTCTCTCTATCTTCTCTCTATCTTCTCTCTATCTTCTCTCTATCTTCTCTCTATCTTCTCTCTATCTTCTCTCTATCTTCTCTCTATCTTCTCTCTCTCTCTATCTTCTCTCTATCTTCTCTTCTTCTCTCTATCTTCTCTCTATCTTCTCTATCTTCTCTCTCTTCTCTCTATCTTCTCTCTCTTCTCTCTATCTTCTCTCTTCTTCTCTCTTCTCTCTCTATCTTCTCTCTATCTTCTCTCTCTCTTCTCTATCTCTCTCTATCTTCTCTCTCTATCTTCTCTCTATCTTCTCTCTATCTTCTCTCTATCTTCTCTCTATCTTTCTCTATCTTTCTATCTTCTCTCTATCTTCTCTCTATCTTCTCTCTATCTCTCTCTCTATCTTCTCTCTATCTCTCTCTATCTTCTCTCTTCTTCTTCTCTATCTTTCTCTCTATCTTCTCTCTATCTTCTCTCTATCTTCTCTATCTTTCTCTCTATCTCTCTCTATCTTCTCTATCTTCTCTCTGTCTTCTCTCTATCTTCTCTCTATCTTCTATCTTCTCTCTCTATCTTCTCTCTATCTTCTCTCTATCTTCTCTTCTCTCTATCTTCTCTCTATCTTCTCTATCTTTCTCTATCTTCTCTCTATCTTCTCTTTATCTTCTCTCTATCTTCTCTCTCTTCTCTCTCTTCTCTCTATCTTCTCTCTCTCTATCTTCTCTCTATCTTCTCTATCTTCTCTCTCTTCTCTCTATCTTCTCTCTATCTTCTCTCTATCTTCTTCTATCTTCTCTCTATCTTCTCTCTCTCTCTATCTTCTCTCTATCTTCTCTCTATCTTCTCTCTATCTCTCTCTATCTTCTCTATCTCTCTCTATCTATCTCTCTATCTCTCTCTCTCTCTATCTTCTCTCTATCTTCTCTCTATCTTCTCTCTATCTTCTCTATCTTCTCTCTATCTTCTCTCTATCTTCTCTATCTCTCTATCTATCTTCTCTCTATCTTCTCTCTATCTTTCTCTCTCTTCTCTCTTCTATCTATCTTCTATATATATATATATATATATATATATATATATATATATATACACAATAAACCACAGGTTAGCTCTGTGGGTGGTGAAGAAACATAAAATGGCCTGAGCAGGCTTCAGCAACTGGGATTAGCTAACCATCCTAGCAGGTAGGCATACTATGAAACAAGCAGCCACCCATTCCTGCCTGCTTAATTTCTACTTCCAACTAAAACATAGTATCTCGCACAGTCTTAATGTAACTAATTTTGGGAAAGGGAAAGTCTTTGGTTTCTCTATCTTTCTACTGAAGTTTGGATTTGATAGTTAAACTTGATTATTTTCATTGTCAGTTCTTTTGAGTTAGATATTACAAAATGATTTAATCATTTATTCTCAAAAATAAGGTTTTTTTTGTTTCTTTTCTTCACCCAAAACGATGCCCAAAAGCCACTTTTTGAATGTAGGAGGAGGTAAGAAGTGTTGTATATGATGTTATGTAGGATAGATAGCATTAGCCCTAGACTTGAAGAGGTTAAGATTGTAGTGATCAAGAAAACATCCTCTCAAGAGTCTGTTCCACAAAGCAGTTGTTCTTGGAAAGAAGCTGGTAAAGTGGAAATTTCCTTTATATTAATGGAATATGTAGGGGATGAGGATGATTAATTCCAACATGTATGGCTAATGGGTCTTAGTTGTGAAGGTCTGAACTTTGGTGGAACTAAGGAATGTACCTTGTCAGAACATTTGTCATAGAAATAACAAAGTAGCAAGATGATTACAACATTTTGTCTGTGAGAAAGGGGTTGTAAGGTGGAAAATAATTAAACACCCACAAGGTAGTGTAAATGCTTTTAAAATCTATAAAGAATGGCATGTAATGACTGGGTAACGTCAAGCCAGATGTGGCAGCAGTACTTCAATTTTGGCCTGATCTGACTCTTAAAAAGATAAGGAGGAAGAGTTAGGTACTTACTGGAGTGGTAGAAGGAAATGATTATTTTTCTAGCATCTTTAGCAATGGATTGCACACGAGTTCTACTTGAGGTCTGGGATGAGCTTGAATACTTAAGTAGTATTTGAGTCCTGCTAGATTGTTGTTTTATAATTCCTGTCTTCAGAAAGGTTTTGGTTCATAAACAAGAAATTGGATCCAAACTCTCTTAGTGAAAAACCTATTCTTGCCAACAACTTCATAGTCCTACTTATAAAATAACCCCTTAATGTGTCTGTACATTAAATAAGTTAATTGTTTGTGCATAACTCTAGTGGTGAAAAAGAAATTTCAGTTTGTGCGTTGGGGTGGGAGGGTCATGGCTCAGCACAACTTTATTTTGACTTCTTTGTCTTTGCTTTGTCATCCATTCACACAAACTCATTAAATTGTGAGTGTTAAATTCCCCAATCTTCCTTTCCTCATTATGTCCTGGAAATTTCAACTCTTTTTATGATTCCAAGTATGATTCTTAAAACTTCCTCATTGCTATTATGCTCTGTCCATGGTATTCTTAGCAGTAGAACCAAATCTTTGTTGCTTAGTGTCTCTTCATTCAGCATTCACTGCTATTAAGATGATTAGATATTACTTAGCAGTTTAGCACTTTTAAAAACATTTTACCTATTTCTTTTAGTTTCTGAAAAACATCTTTAACTCTTCCAAGATTTCGGTCAAATTTTTCAATATTACACTAGTTAGTTAGTTAGTTAGTTGAATGTCTGTACCTTCATTTTAATGTCTCCAACATATAGCTTGCACTGTTTCTTTTGCTAACAATGCATTCTCTCTTCTTACAGTTAATACTTAGTCTTTTCTTCTTCCCAAAAATTCTTTAATTTTCTTTTTCTGAGTCTACCATTAACACAGTTATTTGTATATCTTATGTTAGTATAGGTACCTCTGTGAGATCGCTAAAAAGAGAGCATAGCATGATGAAAGACACCAAACTTGACGAAAACAAAATTTTAATGTCTAAATGTTTGTTGTTATTAAGAGGAAAGAACAAAGTATTTTTTAATTATTTTAAAAAAATTTTTCGCTCTTTTTAGAACATTCTAAATTTTGATTGAAAAACCGTTTCTCTTTGTGTCCAGCGGAACTACGAAGTAACATATAAAATTTTAGCATGTTTTTTTTTTCTGTATGACACATTAATTTTGAAAATCTTGCAGAAATAAAAATAATTGTTGGATTTTAATTAAACTTATTCACAAATGATGGAACTTAAAAATGTTTGACTTTTTTTTAAAGTCATGGCAAAATTTATTTATTTATTTATTTTATTTTTTTTCCATGTGTCCCCCCCCCAACTAATTGTACAGAAACTCCAATTTCAATTTTTAACAGATTAGTGATTATATTAGTTAAAAGCACAAGGCTTTGAGGAAACCAAGTCGTGTTTTTTTTTTTTTTAAGTTGGACCCTCTCTACCTGAAAATCTGAATTGTAACATACAAAACTCAATAAAACAAAAAAATTATTTAATTTCAAAAGCTTCTAATTGCTTTTATTTATTTTAATGAACATGGACAATATTGTCTGAAAGCAAAAAGATATTTCGTTGAAAAATGAATTTTTAAAACAATTATTTCTGAAATATTTTATTATTTTTACATTAAATGTTGATAATTCTTCTAAAATTAGTGAAAAGTTTGTACAATTTAACGAATGTTAAGTAGATATATATTTACAGATTATAATTTCCAATGCTTCTTACAAGCTAATGAACACCAATATATAAAAAAAAATATAATTTGTCAATAATACGACTGCAAATCAAATCTACGGAAGACTGGAAGTATCATGTGTACAATAAAAAAAAAAACATCACGTAGATTGAGTTCCTGCCTAGTATTTAACTTAAATACTGAATTTTTAAGACAATTATTTGTTATTTATTTAATTATAATAGATTTTTACATTTAAGTTGTTAAAATATAAAATTAGTTAAAAGCCACATTCAGTTTTGTAAATGTCCTTTTGAGATAGATTTATTTTTGCAAACCTCATGTGGAGAGGTTAATTTGATTTTTTTTTTTTTTTTTTTTTCTTAATTTCAACTGAGAAGGGTACCTACAATTATCAGTATCATCTTATGAAATTTGTATTTTATGTACACTTCTGATAAAATTTCATAAGAAACCTATTATAAGGTACCTATAAATTAATTAGATACCTTCCTTATGAAATTTAATCTCACTCTCAACAGTCTTATTTTAATTTTTTTATAATATCTTTTCCATAAAGCATCGTAAACATAAAGGTGAAAGCTAAGTACAAAAACAAAATTAGAGTGCTGGTGAAAGTTTTCCTTAAAAATAACGAGGTAAATAATTTGTTCACTTAAATCTAAATAATTTCACTTCTCTCCTTCTGTAGAATAAATTATCCTCACGTAAGCTGTCAATATGTCATGAAAATGTCTTTCGTCAAGTGATGCAAAATGTTATCTTTTCAGCTTGTAAGTAATGCTTGTTTCAAAATAATTAAATAAACATAATTTCTGATTTTCTTAAAATAAGTTTTGAAAAAATTATAATTGGTTTTTAAAAGAATTTCAAACTGAGATTTTCATTTTTTTTTTTTTTTTCTTTATAAAATGGAAAAAAATGGTTGACATGATTATCTGTCAATTTTGCTGACTAAAATAAAAAGATTTTTAACTAAAAAAACTTTGGACATGCTAGGAGCGTTTCTTTTTTTTTTTTTTTTAAAATACCCCCAAAATACTTTGATCTTTCTTCTTAATAATAACATAAACATTTAGACAGTTTTGTTTTGATCAAGTTTGGTGTCCTTTTTGTCATGCTATGCTCTTTTTTAGCAATCTCATGGCGGTACCTATGTTAATATTACGTCTGTTTGCAATACATCCTGGTAGATCTTCTTGTTCTCTTAGTTATGTATTGCTGTATAGTTGAAGTAGATCAGGTGAGAAAATACATCCTTATGTTATTCCTATTTTTGTCTATTCACTGAACTTGTTCTTTATCTGTGTGCAGTGGAGATTGCATTTAATAAAATATAAGTAAAACAATATTCATGTTACTGCTTTCTGTGACTAAGAGTTTCATATGGGCACTTAGATACTGGATGTTTCACAATCCTCAGCTTATAAAAGTGGTGAAATAACTTGGTTCTTTATTCTAATAACAAAGAAAGAAACAATAAGTAACTGAGTATCTTGTCACTCTTACTGCTTGAGACAACAGCATAAACATGAAACTTTCAGTATATTTTTTTAATATTTTCTGTAACCTGAAAAAGATGGCTTTCATATCTCTAATATCAGAGAAAAGAATTGTAATAAGTGTTTTTATTGTTATCTTCTCAGTAGTTTTTAAAATGGTTAAACTGCATGAATTAAACTTGTTTTCTTCATTCCATAATCAGTAGCTATGGAATCATGTTATCAAACAATTTTTTAAATTTGAGTTCAGCAGGTATTTTGAAAGACTCTTATTTTTGAAAATTTACATCTTAACAGAGTAGAAATAAAAGGAGATAATTTGCTATTGATGAATCTTCAGCATCTCATTTAGATTTTAGTTAATATTTCTTAATTGGAGGGCAATAATTTTGGTAAGTTTTATATTTTTTTATAGAAAAATTGAGATTTTAATTATAAGATAAAATTAAAGCCTACAGTGATATAGCTTTCTGTTGTAAAATATTAGGTGGTTTTCTGTTTCATTTATGGTGTACAAGCTGATTTTTGACATATCTTGTGATGGCTTTTTTTTTTTTTTTTTTTTTTGTTTCAATAAATCTTAGCATCTGTTGCAGCTCTTTTGAATGTCTGTGTTTCTCTGGTTATCTTTGGTATTGAAATTGTAAGAATTTGATTTTTTTTGTGCTTTGCTAAGGATGAGGCATGGTATGTTTTCATTTAAGTAACACTCAGTACTCCATAGATGAACACTAAAGTTCAAAGGAAAGTAACTTTCATCTGAATTTTTCCTTGTGGTTGTCTGTAATCCTGCTGGTAAGTATATATTTTCATATATTTTTGCTGGCAAGATTTGTGTGGCAATAAAAGGATTATGTTTATGCAAAATGCTTGCTAGATATTGGGTATATAGATAT